TTTATTTTATTTTATTTTATTTATTTATTTAGCAGAACCAGGGATTGAACTCAGGCCCTTGCACTTGCCAGGCAAGCACTTATTCTACTGAGCCATCTCCCTGACCCTCATACTTTTATTTTTAATTAAATTAATATTGGTATTTTTTCATTATTTTTATTAAATTGGCTAAGAAAATTTTTGTTGTCTTTTCAAAGAACAACTTTGATTCATTTAGTCTTTGTAATTTTTAAATTTCAATTTCTTCTCTAATCTTTGTGATTTCTTTCCTTTTACTAGCATGGATTTGGATTCTCTTGTTTTTCTAGGACTCTGAGATACATCATTAGATTATTTTGGGGGGGCTTTCTCTTGTTTTTTGATGTGGGTATTTATAGCTGTTGACTTTCTTCATAAGCCTGCTTTAATTGTGTCCATAGATTCTTGTATTGCACTATGATCAGTGAGTTTAAAGAAGACACTATTAAAAAGCTAGCTGAGCTAGACAAAAATGATAAAATAAAAACCATAAATGAGATACAGAACAAAAAAATGTAGATATTCAGGAGAGTTAAAAAACTGTATTGCAAATATTGGCAGCAGATATGACCAATGTAAGGAGACAGTGCAGAATTAGAATCTAGAACTAATATAGGTAACCATATACTCAGAAATACTTTAAGAACAACAGATTATAAGAAAAATACATCCAGTACTTGCTAGATGATACAAAAGAGACAAGATTAAGATTGATCAGTATTTGTGAAAAATCAAAATATGGCATAAATTACATGAAAATCTTGCTTATAGAAATACAAACCAGCATAAAGTTTCAACGTAGGGGAAAAATTTAACATAAAAGTAAACAAGGCATATAGAACCTAGATGGCATCAATTAGCAAAGAAACTCCATGGACACATCATTGTCAAAACCCAGGAAGTCCAGTGCAGGGACAAAATTTTAAATGCTGTTAGAGAAAAGCAACAAAGTATTCACAAAGGTAATTCTATTAGAATTACAACAGATGTCTCAGCACAAACCTGTAAGACCTACAGAGCTTAAAGTATTATGCCCTAAAAGAAAACAACTTCCAACCCAGACTAACACATCCTACAAAACTAATCTTTCAAAATTGTTAGAGAAATAAGTTATTTCTGTGACAAAGATAAGCTAAAGAAATTCATGATGACCAAACCAGCATTCCAAAGAATTGTCAAAAAAAAGAATTGTCAAAAATATCTAAGAAAGAGCTAATGCAGCCAGCAATGCCACAAAGTCTAGTGGAATGAATACATCAATTGAAGAGAATGGAAACAAAAAGAATCAACAACAGGAGAGTTAATACGATGACAGAAACACACCAGTACCTTCCAGTCAGCTCTTGTTGTTGCCCCTCCATCAAGACACAAAATGGCAGGTTGGATCAAAAAATTAATCTCAATAGCCAGGGAGATGGCTCAGTAGAATAACCGCTACCCTGGCAAGTGAAAGGCCCTGAGTTCATTCCCCGGTTCTGCCCCCCCCACACAAAAAAATCATTTTAAAAAATTAATCTCAATTATATGAAGCACATATAATCCAAAAGAAAATTCACAGACTAAAAAAATCAAAGATGGAAAGCATTACTTCATGCAATGAAAGCCCCAAAACAAGAAGGAGTAGCTTTCCTATTTTTCAGACAAAGTGGACTTCAACCCAAACATAATGAGAAGAGGCAGTGACGGTCACTGCATACTGCTTAATGCAACAGTTCAACAGGAGATGACAATTACCAATATACATGCAGCAAACACTGGCATTCCCACCTTCTTACAGCAAACACTACTGGACCTGAAAAGTCAACACTATTATAGTGTGTGACCTCTAAACTCCACAGCCACAAGTAAATCAACTAAGCAAAATTTCAGCAAATATTGGAGTTGAAGAACACCTTTGAACAGATGGGTTTAATAGATACCAGGTTCTACCTAACAAGAGAATCCTCTTCTCAGCAGCACAGCGATTATTTTCCAAAAATGATCCACATATTAGCCCATAAATCATACTTAAGTAAATACAAAAGAATTAAATTATCCCATGCATGTTATCAGATCACAATTAATACTTGTTATAAATAGAATTAAGCCTTCAAATCTATTAGAAAGAAATAAGGAGGATTTGCAACCTAGAATACAATATTTGTTGTGTTCTTGCCATTTTACTTTGTTTTGAGAAGTAAACTGGTAAGATGGTAGGAATTCACCAATGGTTGTTATGTTGTACATTATTGTCTTCTAAGTAGTTGCTCAGGTTGCCATGATATAAGCATGTAAAATTGATCAAAGCAAAATTTTAAGCATTAAATGTTTCCTCCAACAAACAAATAGAAATTATAACTATCCTAGCTATATATCCTAGGATATAGTTATATCCTATCCTGTATATAACTATATATACAGGATAACTATATCCTGTATATAACTATATATCCTATCCTGTATATATACATGCATATTTTTCCCTTCTTTCTTTTCTCCTTTCCCTCATCCCAGTGGATAAAATTTGAAAAAGTAAAATCCTTTACACAAATTTGGCTTGGTTGAAAAAGACAAGGCCATATTTGTTCGATTTTACTCCATGACAGGATCAGCACTCTCTCACTATATAGGTTTCTTATGGTCTCTCTCTTGCCTTCTTTTAATTAGCTAGTAGAAAAATCTACATTGAAATATTGCCTTTCTTGGAGGCAAGATGTTATGTTAGACGTTTTCAGAGTATAGCCTGCTTAGACTTATGCATCTTCATTCAAACAGGGACTTTTGGTCGTTGTGATCTGATTCCTGTACCTGCCTCCTAGACATTGTAGTTTGTGTCATAGTTGTGGATTCATAGGACACTACCTTCAGTAAGACTATCTTGATTAAGAATGAAGCTAAGGGCTGGCCAGATAGATCAGTGGATTAAAGTGCCTGCTTAGGCAGATGCAGGGATGGGGTTTGATCTCTTGCGTGCTACGCCAGCTGCACCCACAGGGCATACTGAGATGAGGATTGAGACTGGGTGTGGTGGCACATGCCTGTAATCTCAGTGCTTGGGAGGCTGAAAACAGGAGAATCACTATGAGTCCAGTCTGCATACTGAGACCTTGTAGACCCTGTACTAAATACATTTAAAGGAAAAAAAAAAATAAAAGAATCCAATCACCTCCCAAAGCTCTTTTGAATTTATTGTCCAATGAGTTCAGGTACTTATTTTGTTTGCCTTTTATAGCAATGTTCTACAGTGATTTTTTTTTTAATTTGTAAACTACCTACTTCGTGAAGACAAAGACTTACTATTCTGTTTGTGTCACTTATGTATCATAGAGTCTAAAGCAATTCCAG